AGTGGTCGATTTCTTGAGGCTACTAATAAATAAAAGACCGATCACTATTCGTAAAAATTCGTTAGTATTGCTAACAGCAACGAAATAAGACTCTTATCAGACAATCCTCACAATCCCTAAGGTCGCTATTTCCCAACGGGTCTTCTGAAAGACATAAAATCAAGTCCATAATCACAGACTGCCGTCACTCTGTCAAATTTGGCAGGCTGACTAAAGCCGCTGCCGAATACGGCAGAAAAGATTGTTTTAACCTGTTGATGTGATTCTCACATGGACAAAAATGTGTTTGTTTACTTATACATGTTGGGCCGCCAATACATTCTTTGAGCTGTATGTTTTCCCTGTAAATGTGGCCACTCGAAGTGGTATCATGTGCTTCATTAAGAATTCGCTGATTGAGACACATGCTGCGTCTGACTCGTATGCGGTTTTAATCACTTCATCAATCGGTGATGCCACCAACGTGACATGCGACATTTAGTAATCAATGCGATGCGAAAGCGGCATCGTTTCGATTCCCCGCATAACCTAATTGCATCACAGATCCCATGTTCCGCAGCTACTCGTCTGTTTCTCTTCAACCAATCTTAAGCTCGGGGATGCTGGATCGATCCGGGTCTAACGTCATATCACCACAGCCGTAGTAGCGTAGAGCGCCTCCATGCGCTACGTGCGCCTTAGTAACCAATCATTGAGCGGAATACAAAAGTTTTCTGACAAGACTTAAAGCAGCTTGACAGGAATTATGACCGGGTCTCACTCTGCATATGACAACCGCACGATTATCGACTTCCAATGAACCCAAAATTTTGTCAAGTGTATACCGCTACAAGGCGGCTGGCAGATGAGCTCGAAATTTGTTCGATGTCTGAACATCGTCGTGCGTCTAGCAAGCTAACCTTGCCTTGAACTCACAAACCAATAGTCAAACTTGCCAACTAGCCAGACATGCTGTCCAAGATGACCTGACTACGCCTCTGAACAACGACGTCAGTCTATGACTCGACGTTCGGCTGCCGTGCTGACTCAGTACAACACTTTGTCGTCAAGATCTTTGGATACATTTAATGCACCCAATACACCAGTCAGTCAAATGTTTTTTAATCAATAAGATCAAAGAAAACTTATTTAACGTCGACTGCCACTGACGAAGCTGCCGTGCCAAATAAGAAGACACTTATCATTCTGGTGTTACGTTCATTAAGAAAGTTTTTGCCCAATGAAGATAGAAGTGCTCGTACCAGTATTCAACACAGAAAAGTAACAACTACGCCTTCCAAAGGAAATATTTGTCCGATGCTTATCGTAAAAATGAAAAAATCTATTAATTTTGGACCAACGCTGTGTTTTATTGCGCGAAATAATTTCTAATTAGAGCAACAGTCTTTGAAAAAGTGGATCCTTACTTAAGAACAGAGAATTGCATATCGCTAGATTTAAACATTGCACATCGATCTTACAGGAGATTAAGGTGCATTCTTTCGATGTCATGTGAAAGGCGCGTCATAGAGTTCCTCACTATTCAGTGCGAAATTTATCTTGCCGGGCCAAATATCAATTTGATGTAGTCTTCGTTAATGTCCTGGCAGTTTATAGCATTGTAATTCAGTCACTACTAAACTTGCTGTTTCAATAGAGTCTTACCACGCTGATCACATATTTCGCACATTTGATTTCCTCAAGTGTAAGCATTGAGTGCCACCGAGAGCAATTAGCAAAATATAATCAGTTATTACATTTATGTAACCTGTTAGAGCAGCTAAGTAGTTGTACTGAGCACGTCGATACAACTTGCAGGACTTCTTAAAGCTCTACAGACTATTTTTGATCCAGTGCAATGAAATCAAGACAAAGGCATTGAAACTGTTGTTTGACCACAGTTTGTATAAATCATGGTATAATTTACGCTGCGCTGTAAGATCTCCAATGTAAAATGGTAACTTGTAGCATTTCTGTCAAAAGTCGGACATGTCTTGCTACTTCATGTATAAAATATGAAATTATAGACCAATTCTCTTATACATCATACTTCATTTGTGCACAAGTATACTCTAATCTGATCCGTGCCGCACAAAAAGTACGGGCCAAGAAAGGCTGACCGAGCCAGCTGCTTAAGTCACTCTTCAAACATTTTTGTATTGTGTCTAAACAGAACTTTTCCACTCTCGTTAGTTGTTATTTTGTGATGAGAAGTCGATACAGAGCTTATTGAACTTTAAATTCAGTGTACTATCTAACAATGCAAACTTTTTAACCACTGGGAAGGAAAAATTCCATAGAATAATGATTGGAGGGAAAAGTTAAGGAGCCAGCTTCACCTTGATGGACGAGAGTGGTATTTATGTACTGTAAATTGTGAATTTAATATTAGAAAAGGTGGGTTGCGAACTGCACGTCCGATGATTATTTAATAAGATTAAACGCATATATTAAGTAAAGATTAATATGTACTGTAGAAGTAATAAAGCAACCTAGCGCTATCAATAAGACTGGATATCTTCTAGCTTGCTTTAATATTTCAAGAGACCACATATTTTGCACTTAATAAATTTGATTTATAATCTCTCATAAAAATTTATTTAGTTGTCTCGCGTGAACCATCCTATCATAATTGTCGATACTCTGGTACCATTAACCAAAGTGCAATATGAATTTTGTACAATTGTACATACTAATTTGATCCGATAGTACCAAAAGTGTGAGAGGGAGGTAGACAAGAGTGCAGCACCCCGTTACTGTCTCCTGATAAGAGTACACTAAGACTCAAAATAATTTTATACCACGTGTAAAGTCCGCCTGAATCATATTTACTCGACTTAGCCCACCCTTCTTTGTGCCTGTTCCTCCGAGCATACTTGCACCGGGGACATCCAGATAAACGAATTACTGAGCTCACAGCAAAGGCATGGTTCTCGCGACGGAAGCGACTAACGTTATTCATGGTAAGAATGCCAAAATTTTCGACGATGAGAGCGAGCGACAAGACTCCAACCATCCTGAGCAAAACGCCTTTGCGGCTTTGTCGCTCCACCAGAAAGAGGAGCTTGCTGAGACCAGCCTTCCCGCTGCTTTACTTAGACTTGGTGACTTTTCCCAACAATGGAAGTTGTTATAATATCTCGTTGTGGAGCACACGACGATGTCAAGCTTGTTGGTCACGAGCTGTAGCAAGGGGCATGCCAACTTTTACCAAATTTACATGCCGTGATTGCGGTTTATAAATGTCTGCATTTGCTCATCGCGCTTGATGTTAAGGCCCTACACATCTTTACATGCGATCCTTCCACTTACATCAAAAAGCAAAGCATGCACGCGAGAATTTTTCGCTAGCGCTTATGCAGCTTCTAGGTCATCACTTCTCAGGAGCACCGACTTCGCTTAGAAGCAGCAGTAATTGGGTGAGCCCGTAACATCCATTTGCGATGAAAGCTACGTGACTAAATCCTGCAGGAAGGCTGATGAACAAATCATATGCGCAATAGGAGGTTAGGGGTAAAAAAATTGTCATCTCATTCGCTTTTGGCTCACAAGTCTGCTTAAGCAAAGCAGACGTTCGCTCAGAGCGTCGTATAATGATTGACTTGCAAAAAAACAAAGTTCGACGCAGAGGTAAAAGTGACGCTCAATCAACTCAAGTTAATGCTGTTTAGTGTCCAATTCGTCTCCATGAGAAAACTGTGTCAGCTACTGACCAAGTATCACACTTACCATAAAGTCGGTCACCACTCGATAGCTGGAAAGTCTATGCAGCGAGCGGCTCTGTCTCTTCCGCCGGGAACATAAACTGAGGGCCAACCAGATCGCAAGCAGCCAAAGCCCCAGAGCAATGTTGTCGGAGTTGCACATCAAACTTTCATTAAGTCTAGACCGATCCCTTTCACATCTCCAGATACTAGCAATAGCCTTAGTTTACCCGCTGGACACCAACCGTTCCATGA